ACCCCTTCCACTTATCTCCCAAAAGGAACAGGATACTCTGAAATAGCATTGCAACTCCAGGGAGTCACCAGACTCCTGAGTAGAGGGACTGGGGGACCCCAGAGTACTGGAATCACCTGAAGTCCATGCTGTGAAAAGGAGGGTAACTAAAGAAGGCAAGGTCTGTGTACTTTTAACAGATGCCATGTGGTCAGCAAGACCATGACTGTCCTGAACGATGACAGAACCAGTAGAGGGAGAAACTAGAGGTGCTAAAAAGCTTCTCACATGGCCCCGTAGGTAACCCTGGAGGATCCTTAACTGGCCTTGAAAAAGATAAGTAAATAGATTAACCGAATGTACCTCATTTTGACTTGATCTTAAATATCTACGATGAGAATATAACAAAAATGGAATTATTATTAGTAATATAAAAACAGAGAGCTCTGCAGATAGCAAAAGAGGCTCCTAACACTAGTACTGCTCCGGGTGTTCCTGACAGTCTCTAGGAACTCTGATAAGAATTTAGCTCACAGCCTCATGATTTCCAGTCCCAGCAGCTCTTCCCCTGTCTTTAGCCTCCCAGTGTACTATCACTATGTTAATTTATTGTACTTTCAAGGACTCCTCAGGTAAAGATTTGACTTCTTATATAGGTCTACCTGTAGAATAAAAATGCCTGTAAGTACCCTAGCTACTAAGTTTTGTTGCCTCTGTGGTATGAACTTTCTGTTATCTACTTCAGATGTCATATGTTTATATTATCTAGAGGTGGTCATCATAGAAAGTCTTCAGGTCCATAAAATAGAGTTATGTAACTTCTAGAGTTACTAGTCACTGACACTCTACCTTAATCTTTTGGTCCCAGCTAGTTTAAGATGGATCTCAAGAAGCAATGACTTGCTAATGCTCTTGCCTTTTTTCCAGACTGTCAAATGATGATGGCTCACCAAACAGCAAAACCCATTTTTCTATGTCTCCTTCAGGTCAGTCAGAGTGAAAAGAGTGAACTTCTTTCCTATGCATTTCTAGTGATATTGGTACTATATGTCTCATCATTAGAAGAACTGAAAAGGTGGTCACCATATCATCTTATTTAGGGCTTGATTCTCTTGAGGGACCTGAGTTGAGAGTTGACATTCCCTCATTACACTTAGTTGTAAGTTGCAGCTTTGATATTATGAAATTCACCAATTTACTCATCAGCTATTTGCTGCTATGCACTAGCTGTTTCTCAGGTCCTGTGTATTTTCCTTAGCAAATATATAATTAAAACCTATATGATGTGCTCCTAAGGGAAGAAAATGACCTTCTATGAGAGTTGTGTTTCAGAACTTAACTGGGACAGTGACCAAAACTTGGGGTTGTGGACTGAGAAAGATAGGGCTTTGAGCTTGTGAGACACAGAGAGAGGTTTTTGGCTGTTCTTATTTAGCAACTTGCAGTCATTGTTTGATTTTACCCAGTGATGACAGCCAATGTACATCATGTGTCTTATTCATGAAACAAAACACATTTTTGAGATAAAAATCCTAACTGTGCTTTTCATTCAATACATACTAACTCTTATTGTAGGGCCAAGTAAAATAAGCTTTCTATCAAGGGAGACAGTGTTCTCTTTCCCTGAGAGCTCCTCGCAGTGTCTAAGAAGGCATTTATATAATTACCTCATTGTGGTTACTAAATTTAGTATTTTATAATATGTCCTCTTAGTAATTCTGTTAGTTATACTCTTACATGTTTTCTTCGTTTGATACCAAAACTGAGGACAGATTTCAAAAGATTTGGATTTGAAATCATCAATTATGGATTTGATAAAAAGAAGGCAGGTTTTTTTTCCCCTGAGAATTTTAAGCTTGTAGTTTAGTGTAGGTATCAATTCTAAAGAGGTACATAAAAATGGTGTTGAGACACATAGGGCAGCTAGAATCAGTGCAAGTTGAAGCTTTGGGTCTGCCCTTTTTTTTTTTCTTAAGATGAATAATTATAATTCATTGAACTGTTTTTCCTTACCTATAAATGAGATAATTAGATCAGAGATTTCTAAGGTCTTTACCAACTCTAATGCCTTGTGAAGGTCTTGTGTCCA